GACATTTTCTTTCCAGACAGTATTTCTAATGTCAAGGGGTCCTGGGACACTTTTGTCACAATGTTATATATATGAAATGGTAGCGCGAAAAATTGTCTATCGAATGATATATAGGGTGTCCAGTAAGTCACTGGACGACTTTGATTACGAATAACTTTTGATAGGAACAAGATAGAGACCTGCGATTTTCGCCGGTTGAAAGAGGAGACTTGGAGGCATGTTCTTACAACCAACATTATTTTCAGAAGAGTTTTCTGAAATAGGTTTTCTAGGAGATCTTTGGAAAACTAGACCGTCTGCAAACATTTTTCAATAGGATCGTGTTGCTTTTTTCTCATGAGCTGATAGTTCGGAGTATCCGCTCCAAAATGGGGCTAAAGTGAGACCTTGATTTTCCATGGTTCGGGTGTTGTATCGGATTTCCTACGAGTCCCAGGACCGGCACCCGGCAACTATTGGTAGCCTTAAAGACTGATGGACTATGGGTAATCGACCATGCTGAGTTCTGTGGCCATATTTATTTTTAGAAAAAGTTCTAAAAGTCTACCGAAAAGCCAGTTTTACGAAAATTAGGGTTTCCAGGCTGTTTTCACCTAATATTAAAAAAATTCACTATTCACTCAAAAAGCATCAGAACGAGTTCAAAACTTCAGAATGTAGAGTATTTAAGCTATTCTATATCCTATTCATAGGAGATCTCGAAACAAATTTTACAGAACCCTCAGGTTTTCAAGTGTCAATAACATTTATTATTTGATTCATTGAATTATTAAAATTACTATCTAGGTCGTTAATCACGAAATCGAAAAAGGTTGGTATGCCTCCAATTACTAACTGAAGAGATCTAATTGGACTTATTATTATGTGCCTATTATTTGAAGTAGTAGCTCGCTTTTGCCCCTGGAAGTCTTCACCATTTATTTTGAATATCAATAAGCCATACAACGCAATTAACTCTAATATAATTTTATTCATTTCTGTTTTGGGTTGTTTTTGTTTTTAGTAGTATATTGTACTTTACGCTCTACTCCGATGGAAAAACAGTTTCATGTATTACTTCAAAAACCTAGTGAAGCTATATTGAAATATGTACTGTTATTTAGTCAGCACATTTAAACCGACAGTTAGTTCGATTTTCGATAAGAGGTTAATTAAATTTAGATGAGATTGGAGAACGTTTATTAAAGTACAGTCAATTATTTTTACAATCAGTTCTTCATATTGATATGGGTTCAACAGATAATGTACAATTATTAAATGAAATAGTGTATTGTCTTTGTTTATTTCAGTTTTATTATTTTTCACAAACAGCTATCTATTTACTATGTGAAACAGTCATCTATTTTGAATTAGATTCATCCCCAACATGGTATATAATAGAAGATCATTTAGTTTTATTTCAGTATATGAAGACAATTAATATAGATGAAATTTTTTGGTCAGAATCAGACGAAAAATATTTATCAGTGCAATTCGTTATGAATTCTTTACAGACAATTGACAAAGAGTTATAAAAAAAAAGACGTTTGGCAGAACGCAAGAGACTTATCCTGCTTTTTCAAGGACTGCTTTTTCTTACTCCCGACGACAGATTCAGAGAATTTTTTCAATGTTCTACGAAAAATAGTTTCTTCTTCGGAAGTCGTCTTTATCCATCTGCTCTTGCGTGACCTT